CACTTGGCTCACGACAAACAGAAAAAAATCATCACAATAGAGATAGGGCGGGTGAGCGGGGCTACATTTTGCCTTGTTTTCTTAATATGTGTAGACTTATTTCGGCAATAAGAAACTTAAACCATGTCTAAAATAGTACATTTTTGTACTAATCAACTTAAATCTTTCACTTTTCTTCTACAACGCCTTAATTATCGCAAAACATGTGTTTCACGAGAAATCCGTACAGTTTTCAAATGGCCTTTTATCATGGTGGCCATAACATTAAAAATTTTCAAAAACAAACAAAAGTTAATTCTAAATCGTCAATATTTGTATGTACAGCGTCGTGAAAAAAAGATTTTCTAATTTGTACTCTCCTATTTCTCAGTTATATAATTAACTAGCAGCTTTGCAAAAATATTTAAATCATTTAATATCGATAGGTGTTTCCTATTAATTAATCTGTCCAAAATATCTCAAAACTATTATACAAACGTAGCGGTGGCCAACAAAAAGGGTTATAGCATTTTAGACTAGCAAACATTTTACAATAGGTTATTATATCACAAAACTTTCGATAAAATTCGAATTTTAAATAGTCAAAAATAAAGATTCTAGGTGAAACAGTCGAAGTAGTCGACGTCAAAATGACATTTTTTTCGAGGAGTCTCAGGGTTAGTATTTTATTATTGCATCATGGTTTGGATTTTTTTGGATTTACGCACTTTGGTCTTGCGTACCTATGCTTTTTTCCATATAAAATGCATGTTCCCACTTTTTAGAAATTGCATATTTATTGAAATTGTGAAATCTAAAATTGAGGTATTTTTATGTCTGATATAAAATTGCATTAAAAAAAGTCATTACTTTCATAAATCAGACAATAAGATCCATTCTACTCCAGACATTTATATTACTGACTTGGAACTTGGTTAGCAGCACCACTGGATCAAAAATTATGAATCTGGAAAGATTTATAATTTAACAAAAATTCAGAGGGCTGCATCTTAGCAATTATTACTTCTAATTATCGATGTTGAAATAGAAACAATTAAAAAACCAAAGATAAGGAAATTATTGTAGTTATCTAATCATTTTATTGGTAATGAATAACAGACGCTGTTTAAATTCGGTCTCTTATGATAATAATTAGAGAGCGGATTTATAAGCAAATAAGCATAAAAAAAATGTGTCAAATGACTCCAAATTGTATCATAGTTACAGATATAAAAAAGTTTTGAAGTGCTTACATTTGCCACAAAAAGCATTAAACCTAGAAATCCGTTCTCTAATAATAATGTTTAAAAGTAGACCTTTTTATGGCGAAACGTGTCGGTAAATAGTTTGTGTATTTTCGGTGTTGTGGGGACAAACGCTACATTAATGAAAGTCCGATTGATTTCATGTACCCAACACTAAGTAGTGAATTAAAATATAGTCAAATATCTAAAGGAAAATTAAATTTTGAAGTGCTATATCTGAACACTCGGTATATTAGGTTCCATATTAGGGTTACTTTTAGACTGTTTATGTTTATACTTCAGAACAATTTGACTGTTGGCACATTGAGATTACAAGCATCAGCGGTAGCATTTGTGTTAAAATTTAAGTTTAAGATGAAACTAAGCCCTCTCGGTTTTCTTGATTAGGTGACATTAAATTGCAAAATGTTATACGATTTTAATTTTTTTCCAAAAACCTGAGTAGTCATTGAAAATGTGAATCGCTCACTATCTATTTGACCTTAATTTAAGTCAGATAAATACGAATCCCAATATAAAGCTAAATTCAGCGACATCGTAAACATGAATAAGAAACGCGCCGATTAAAATTTAAGTGATTAAGCAAGCAAGCTAATATTGCTTAAAATATATCAACACTCACGTGGCACAAGACAAATTATTCTCAACGTAACTCTAGATGTTAATAATAACTAATTTTTAATTGTATTTTAGTGAACTATAATATTATTTACATTAATAAAGAAATAAATACAAACTCATTGCTAATATTTACTCAGAAAAATTGAACTGATTTTAGGAACAGGATTTGGGAGTTTCTGAATTACATTATTCTTACCAATACGGGTTGTAATATCCCAATTCACATAACGAAATCCCAGTTCCCATCAGTGTCATTTCATTCACTGGCGTTACGTAGGGTTATTTCCTCAAATGTTGGATGTGATTTTCAACTTTTCCATTTTTAATTTCACTCTTAAAGAGATAAGAGTGATATTTCATTTTACGCATTCCTATAGGAAAATATTTTAATGCAGAAATTTTGGCAGTAATATTTACAACACACGTGACTTTGCTGCAGACTATTGTTTTTAATTATTAAGAGTAAATAGAGGTCAAGTATGTGAAATTAAAGTTTTCTTCACTTTATAAGTATACTATAGTTAAATTTCTGAGTCAGTACATGTCCAGGAATACAGATTGAAATATGACTGTGTAGATTTTGATACTAAGACGCCTTAGTAATACTGAATTTAATTCCTTATAAATGAGAAAACTCACTGGAATTTTTTAGGTTCATTTAATTAGCAGTCATAGATGAGCTAAACCAACCTGTCGTTTTCCACGCCACTGAAAAATTCGAGTTCCACTTGATATTTTACTTGTTGAAAGAAAACCAATTTAATATCCTAACACGTACCAGCGGGGTTAGTCTGATTCGGTAGTCCTTGAAATGATCCATTCTTTGTGAGGGCCGCAAATATTTGAATGGATGAGGCATAATTATTTAAACTTCATCACATAAATAACATAACACATCTAAGCTTAAAACATAGCTCATTTGCTTGATGAAGGACATGTACACACGTACATGTACGTGTAACGATGTTCTACCTACTACGATATTTTATTCTCAACCAGACTAATTACTTATCGCATCGCACATAATACATTATCTACACCACAAAATAATGAAATACATTCAACACAATTTTAAATCTTTTCAATTAACTTCATAAATTAAAAAATATATATATATTGACAATTTTGAAACCTTGATCGTGATAGGTAAGAAGGTGAAATTAAATCGTTGACGAGAAAAATTGTGTCGAAGAAGCTGAAACTAAAACATTTTCCAGATAACTTATAGAGTTTTGTAAACTGAAACCAGTGGTGAAAACCGCGTTCCGAAATTTCCACAAATAATTAAGATACTGAATTTGAAAGATGCGTGATGAAAAGCTTCAAATGCTAAGAAGAAGGTGATACTGAATTTTATAGCAATAGGTCTGTTAATAATAAAGATTCTGAAAATGTAAGGCCCCAAACGTTTATTGGTGGCGGCTTAAGGTTCTTGTCCCGTTCTTGGAATCATCCACTTTTGAGCTATGACGTCAAGAGTGTTGAAAACAGCAGTAACATATCCCTAGCTGGCTATTCCACCTCTTAAAGGGTGATAAAGAATTGTGACCCTAATGAATTTGAAAGTAAATAAGCAATAGTGAATTTTTTATTCTAAAATTTCCGTTTTGACCGCCAATATAATATTTTCTTTGTTCTGGTCCACTTGGAGGTAGGTACGTTGAGTCTAAAAATATTCTACATACATGTTTGGAAAAACCCATCGAGGTTTTAAAAATGAATCTTTTTGCTATTGAGAACATGATGTGCTGTGTCCGTCAAAATAAATAATAGTTTTTATTTTTTAACATTTAAAATGAAAGGGACACAGCAATAACAAATGACTAGTTTTTACAATTTGATCACATCAGTTATCACAGTGAACTTGGTGATATTTCATGCGAGTTAAATTAATATATCCTCTCACCGAGCATATGCATCTCTGCTTTTCGCACCTCCGTCCTAATGGAAATGCAAGTTGGGAGTTTGCCTTACCATTGCCAAAGCAAACTTCTCTCTTTCTAACTAACACCTTCCAGCCAACTTGCCAACTTCCTCAATTTTGTCGCACTAGAAAAGTGCAAGAGTAAAATTGCATTTGCGGATTAAGTTATTTGCGACACCATAAATCGTTAGAAACTTGTTTCTGTACGTTCGGGACTTTGCACAACACTGGCTTCTCAAAAAATTTTAGCTGTGTGGTAACTGAATCGATTCTGTTTCCAAAGTTGGATAAAAGTTTTCAAAACAATCTGAGCTTTTTAAAAGTGGATATATCGAAAGTATTGCAACTGACGTTTGTATCTAGTAAAATGCAGAATATGAAGTATTTCTGCAATATAGTTACTGATTATTAAGCAATACAAACCGTCATTTTTTTGTAAATAGTGTGGAAAACATGGTTCATTTAGTAAAACGATAATAATATTGTGCAAAGCTGGATACAACCTATATTTTTAACCGGAAAGTCACTCATATAACAATTTAAATATTTTTGCAATTTTTGCTTCATAGTTTACCCAAAATAAGGACAAAATTTTTTGACAATTTATTGACGGGTTTCTATAACTAGGTGGTTATCTTGTTCGACTATTCTACCGGTACATTTCGCCTTTTTGTACAACTTTCAGTGTTGTGTCACATTTAATAGCTTTACAGAATGAATGATTTAATCGTTTACGTCTCATTTTTTACTCACATAATATACAGGGTGTCTCAACACGCTGAAGACGGAAAATTGGGGATTTCCGATTAACCATATAAAAAAATGGACATAGTCTAACACTATATTTCAAAATTATAATCAAATATATTGTTACACTGGCAGCTCAGATAGTTGTTGGTAAGCAGGGTGAGGATTTGAGCGCCAAGTAACTTATCTTAGCCGTGTTACGCCGATTTAAGTTACTGAAAGTCTGTCACACTCTTTTAGTGTGTTCCTTTTTTTATTACTATATTACGTTAGGATAGGTCAAATTAAATCAGCTTAACTTTAATTAATTAAATTAAATGAGCAAATTAACAGTAGACACAATTTCTAAATTTGGAAAAATTTCAAACAGAGCAAAATTAACAAAAGTTGCAGCCGTCATAAGATAAATATAAAAATCGTAGAATAGATTGGGACAATTAAATTAAGATATTGTTACGATTTTTTTTTGGAGTCGAGGGTGAAAGGGGCTTAGACGAAGTCTCGCTCGATGGTTTTAATCGGTCGTAGCGAACGCCTGTCACCGATCTCGACCTCTTTTTTTTATTGCGGATTGTCGCCGGCAGCTCCGCCAAATTTTGAGTTTTTTTTGCCTCTACGAAGTAGTACTGGCGGGGACGGAGACGGCCAAGCGAGAGGTGGGGGTGCAAAGTGAGAGAAGAGTGAGAGTTGGTGCCGAGAAGAGGTGATTTGAGTTTGGCGAGGTTTGACCTGATGGTTTCCTTTCTTTTTTGAGAGTACTCAGTTCCATAGATTGATAGTGAGGCGTATCCCTTGTATAAGGTAAATTTCGTGCCTTTTGCCGCATGTAGGCTTATTGCTCCACCTGTAGGGTCCACGCCAGGGGCGAAGTTTCGGAGCCGTACAGAGGCGACGTAGAGGGCAGCGAAACGAGGGAAATTTGCTGGGCGTAGCGCCAGCTAGGAGACCCGGAGTTTTTGGATGATCGCGACGTCGAAGACGCGGACCTGGTGAGTTGAACATCGGGGGATCCAGGCCGCGGCAGGACTTGGTCAGCGCGTCGCCGTCGTCCTGTGGGAAGACTCCTGTTTTTTTGAGCTACGAGTAAAAGAACACGCCTTATCGCGATCGGAAATTTTCTTATCGTTTGTCGCCAGACCCAACCGTTTTTTTCTGCGTCTCTCTCTTTCACTCTTTACATGCTTTTCAACGTTTTTTCAAATTTTCACGTACCCGCATAAATTTGATGGCGCCCAATTTTTTTTATTTGTGAAATAGTCAGCATTTCCTGTAACTAGCTAGTAGACCGTTGTTGCGTAGTAGTTCGTCAGTTCATTTGTTATGGTAATTCGTTACTGACATTAGTTGTAGTTTTGTTACCTTTTACTAACCTAGATAATATTTTTTTTTTGTACTAAAAGCCCTAAATATTTTAATTATTATACAGCTCGCCAAAATAATTAGCCTTTCATTCTGAATTAAAACCTCGGATCCACCTACCGGCTCTCCCGGAAGTGAGCACGGGCAAGTGTATCTTCCCTCGCTTTTATAGCAGAGACGACGTTTTAAGGTAACAATATTTAAATTAAAAGGACTAAGATATTCGATTTTTAACAAATAAATTAATCTTCTAAACTAAGACGAATATAATTAATATGTAATATATAATTTAAATTTTATGTGAAATTGAAGTGTTGATATATATGAATATTAAATAAATGTAAATTGTACATACACGTAGGCAACACTTTTGCAAGGAGACATATGTCAATTTGGATAGGTGCAGTGCAAGAATAATAATAACAGCATTGTATTTCCAAATTTTTGGGAAAATAGAGTGAGTCGTCTAATAATTTTCTTTAAGACGCCCTGTATAAACAATTCTAAAAAATATGAAAGCAATGATAAATCACAAGAATAGACTCATCATATTTTGCACATTTTAGATGGGATTTATTGGGCAAAATTTTAAAACGACATTATCAATTTTTGTGGGGTCTAAACAAATATATTTTGACTAAAAATTCACCGTACTTACATTAATTTTAAAACATCTGCAAGATATCAAAGCACCCGGTTTGCAGTTGCTGATTTAATGAATAAAATAAGTTGACTTATTCATTATTTTTTTCAATCACCCTGTATAAACAAATGTTAAAATAATATATGATTGTACGGATAAATCATAAATATAGACTCATCAATTTTCTACATTTTAGATAGGATTTATTTACCAAAATTTTGAGATGACGTCAGCAATTTTTTGGAGGGATAAACAAATATATTTTGATTAAAAATATACTATGCTTATGGTAACCTTAAAACGTGTGCAAGATTTCAAAGTATACGGAATTGCAGATTCAAAATTAAATTGCAAAATGTTGTTACACAATTTTGATTTTTTTTCCAAAAATATAGATGTCATTTACCACATCTTGTACAAGTTGTTCCAAAAAATAAGTTGGACTATCAAAGTTTGCATAAGATACTAGAGGTACAAGAGTTTTAGGCAATTTTAGCTAGAGACGAGCACTAGTTCCAGCATACTGTTACGTTGAACGGGTGATTAAAATCGGCGTGGGTTAAACTCAACAATTTATTTCTCAATAAGTCAAGTTTACACGACTGATTACACAGCGATTATGTACAAAATAATTCCGGCGCAACTTGACTGTACTCTCGTGGACTGAACCGGCTGAATAATAAAGCGTTCCCGAAGGTGGCCTCTACTTAAAGCCATACTTCCCTTCTAAAAATTCCGCAGTCGAGGTCTTTATGGATTGGCCATCGCGACTTCCGCTTCCAGGCTTTTCTCCGGCCGCCGTCACCGACAATGAGTAATCATCGCCGCACATACTAGAATGGGTTTCTTTCGTAGCAATACTTATGACTTATGACATAATGAAAGAATATATGACTATTTAATTAAGAATACACAATGAGAGTGAATGTATTTATTGACTTAGGAATCGCCTGACAGTATTTCTTTTAAACTTCTAAGCAGGGGGAATTAATGTAGTTTTTCCTACACAAAAATTTATCATTTCAGATTCATTAAATAAATTTTACTTAAAATGTCTGTCGTACTGTCGTATAATTAAAGTGTATACAAATGAATTTTAACTTAGGCACAACAAGACATCACCTGAACAACAAAAGATGATAGAGTGCTTTTCTCTAAAAGGTACATGGGCGGAGTCAGAGATCTGCGCGTGAAAGTTGGCGGGAATAGATGATACTATAGACAGTGGCGTATCTTTTGGATATTGAATCTGGGGGCAATGTTATGTGGTACTATCACAGCCAAAAAAATGGAAACACAAATTTATTTTGTGAAAATGTCTTTCCGATGTTATAAAATCATAGGCGTAACAATTTTTTCCCAAAAAATTTTACTACCAGTGTCAGTTCGTGAAAATGAACAAAAACAAATGCAGCTGTATTTCTAAAATTAAACCAACTTATTAGCAATAATAATAATAATTAAAAAAAATGAAACCAACATAATACGGTCGAAAAATTATTATGACGTATTAGACCTACGAAAAAAAATTAATTATGGAAATTAATAGTACAAGCTTGGTACGATGTTGATGAGAACTGTGTAAGGACCACGGTCTTGTCTAAGAATAGAAGATTACATGCTGCAATAAGGAAAAATGGAGCAGCAACAAAATATTAAATTTATTAATGGTGTTCGTCATTTCGTTCATTGTTCGACTAGGTATTTTCCAGTATTTATAGTTTCTGTAAAAGTAAATAGAATTTAATTTGTTAAATTTATTTTCTGTCTGCTTTAGAATGAACGCTTCTGATTTTCTGATCTTTTAATGCCAACATAATAGAGAAATTGCACAATAGAAAAATTAAATAAAAATCGATGACATGAGCAATTTAGGTGTTTCCATTTCTTTGGCCGTGATAGTACGTCAAATTAAATCTTTTTTATTCAATTTTGTCATTTACATCGACGTTTATTTATGTCACATCAACTAAGTAAAGCAACTGTTTTATGCAACAGCCAAATAATAAAAAAAAAGAATTTTCTAATGACAATTTTAATTATCTATATACAAATATATATATACAAATTTTTTATTTGTTACATTCCAAAAATGTCTAAATCATCCTCAAGCACGTCTACATCGCTCATACTACTGTCATCATCACTGCTGTCGCAATCTTCGTCTGAAGAACCCGTGTTGACCGTAAATGATAAACTTTCGAGCGCAGCATCAAAAACGTGCTGTTTTTGAATGAAGTCTGTTTCGATTTTCAGTACTTTTTCACAGGTTTTCCTCCATATTTCTGGGGATAATTCAGCGAATTTTTTTCGAGCCAGCCGTTCCACATCATTTAGTTTAAATGTGGTGTTGTTTGTTGCCACCCAGTTTTTTACAACACCCCAAATATTTTCAATAGGATTGAATTCCGGACTGTAGGGGGGCAACCTTAAAATGTCATGTCCGTGCTCTTTTAGTTGTTTATCAAAACGATAATCGGGGCTCTTGGTTTTATACAATTTCACTAAATTGTATAATTCAGGTTTTGTCTCTTGAGGGTTGTGTGGTATTTTATTTTGTCTTAAAAATGCGACCATGTCTGCTTTCCGGGAGGCAGAGGTTGGATCCTTTGTATCACGGACATTGTGATATGACGCGTTGTCTAATACAAGCACCGAACGTGGTGGGAGGTTTGGAAGCAGCTGATTTCGAATCCACTTCTCAAAATTTGCAGAATTCATATCGTTATGGTAGTCTCCTGATTTAGACCCTAAAATTTAAATGCAATAGATATGTGATATTTGCAAAGGATTATCTTTTACCTGATTTAAATATAAGTAGTCCATTTTCAATAAATCCTGATTCATAGCCTGCGTGAACTATAATGAGTCTTTGCCCTTTAGAAATTGGTTTTTTCAACGACAAATTTTTGTCATCAACCCAGTCTTTAGATTGGGTGCGACTACTATGTATATACGTTTCGTCTTCATATACAATAGTTCGTCCTTCTTGTCTATACTGGGTTATTTTTCGAACAAATTCGATTCGTTTTAATCTTATATATATCATATGATTCGACTAGTGCCTTACGATTATCTGATGTTTTTTTCCATCGAAATCCCATGTTTTTCATAACCCTCCATAACGTGCTTGTAGAGGCCTCAAAATTAACTTCTGACTGTTTAATTTTTGCCAGAATACCTATGAAGATGAAGAATTATTAATCAACAAGAAATCCATATACGTAATAACTGAATTATAAACTGCACGTCAAAAGTTAGGGATATATTTTAATTAATGAAATTTGATCCTATTCAATTCTTTCGAACTTCATAAACTAACATGAACGAACTAATATTTAACATATTTGTCATCGATATCCGTAACTATAGACGTGAAGTTTAAATACGTACTTTTTAAGGACGGCCTTCTCTTTTCAGTCACATAAAAATTGTAAATTATATCCCTAATACACTGAAGTTGGCCAGCATCTAAAGAATTCGGGGAATTTTTCTTTTCTCGCTTCTTTTGTGGAGAGGAAAATGATGTTTGGCCATTAACATTCTACTAAATAAAACATACCTTATAATAGTACGATGATTTGGCGAATTTCCAATGTTTTCGCTTACTTTAGAATCATTTCCTGGAATTTTGCTATAATTTGAAAAATAGTAAAAGGATGGTAGCATTATATTGTTACGAAAGAAACCCATGCGCCGCCTATGGGTTCTAGTATGTACAGCTATGATCTCGAAACGTCTAGAAGTATGAATTTAAATAGAGGCCACCTTCGGGAACGATTATTAGTCAGCAAGTCGAGTCCTGTGAAGTTGAAAGAATCCAGTCAAATTACGCCGGAATTATTTTGTATATAATCCCTGTGTACTTAGTCGTATAAATTTGAGTTATTAGAAATGAATTGTTGAGTTTTACCCATGCCGATTGAAACCACCAATCATCGTAACAATATGTTGAAATTATTTGGTTCTTTATAGAAAGGACCTTGTAACATTTAAGTGGTATGTTGTAACAACAATGCTAAATATCCACGTGAATATTTTTCTGTTATTTTCTTTGTATTTTAGACGATCAGTTTACGTGTCACTTGATGCTTGTTATAAATTTGTTTGATATGGTGCACAATGGATATTAATAGCTTCGCATTTAAATATCACTTTATCTCTTTATTTCACGTTTTCAATAATTTGATGTATGTCATTAGTTTACGATATCGATTTCAGTCACGGTAAATTATTTAGGGCGTATTGAAGTCCTTTGTTCGACATAAAAAGATTAAGGAGTGTTCATTTTATTAAACGGACACCTTTAAAGTAACGCCACTTTTCTAATTTTTAATCTAAATTATTCCAGTTTTTATATATGAAAGCTTTAAGTTGTATCTATTAAATGCCATTTTTGTTTTCAAAATAACGTTATTTCTTTTTAAAATGAAGCGA